TTTCATTTTAATGAAAACGACCTATGTCAGGATATGTCTTGTTTTGATTTGTTAAAATGAAAATAAACAGTTAACAAAAGAAAAAGTACTTCAGCCTGGATTTAAAAGTAGTAAGAGTTGCAGCGGACCTGCAGGTTTCTGGGAGTTTGTTCCAGATATTTGGTGCATAATAACTGAACGCTGCTTTTCCATGTTTAGTTCTGACTCTGGGGACAGAAAGCTGACCAGTCCCTGAAGACCTGAGAGATCTGGATGGTTCATAATTTAGCAGTAGATCAGAAATGTAAGGGTGAAAACAATCAGGGTGAGGCAGACATCAAACAGCCAGAAAACACACAAGGGCCGGAACGGTGAATATCTAAAAACATAGCCTCAGAGTAATGCTATTACATGACTCATGATGTCTATAAAAGAAACTGAAGTACACATAGTTCAGTGGTAACTAACTTGATGCTGTACATTTAAATGGCTTATATTTGCTTTTTGTCACTTCTAAAATATTGCTTGCTTTTCAAGGCCCTACTCCCCCAGAGTAATGTCATTTCCCATCAAAGGATGATGCAAATCTCTGTAATGATTTACCCAGACATCAATATGTGCTTAACCTGAAGTCCAAACTATTAAGATCCTCCCTTCTGTCATTTGGGAATACTGTTAGAAAGCTGAGGTAATCGCTTCACTACTTTTAGAGCCTCTTATTGTGCTAATCTTGAATACTGGTTCACAGCCTTTATAACTTAAGACACATTCCAGTCACTCACAAACCACCATTACAGGTTGTTTTGCGGCTGGTTGCAGTACAGTCAAACAGTTCCCTTATAAGACTTTTTTTGTCTGTGTATGTGAATGGTGCCCAACTCTTATGTATTACGGTTTTAAACAAATGAATTGCACATAGACATTTCTCAGTTCATATACAGGACAGGTTACAAAGTACAGACATTAATTGAATAATATATTGAGATTGGATGTGAAAGAATCTTCATTAATCCTTAAGTATTGATACAGAAAAGTCCATCAGCACGTCATGTTCATTTAGTCCTTTTTCATTTAGTCCTTTTTCATGATAAGAAAAGCAATAGTGTGAATGATACAATTATCAATTGCTTGATTCAATTTAGCTGCTTTATTTTTCAGTGGCCTACATTGACTTTAACAATAAACCGTGTATGTGAGCATGCATGTGACAATTCTGTCAGGCTAAAGAGGAACTTATTCTCTTTATGAAATTGCAACACAACCATGTAACGGTTAACCGGAGGCACATTAAGGGAACTCCTTGTACATTATACAAACAGATGGCCAAACCAGGCAACCTATAATGCTGAATAGACAAGTCTGTTATGCAATATGATGTGCTGCCTCAGTGTAATCACAAATGCATCTTCTTATGAACAAAAGAAAAAACATCATGTGAGAAGAACTACACACGTTTACTTGCTGTGTTGGTCAACCCTGTTAGAGAACCCTGTCATCTCTGACCCAAACCATGTTCTGAACAGTGAATATGAACTGCTACCATCTAATCGGAGATACAGGGTCCCACGATTCAATAATTGTGCATAAGTCAATCCTCACAGTAAATACAGAGCTAAATCCCAGATCAAATGCACGCTGAAGGCTCTTTGAGCAGCTTTTCTCTCACTGATTGTGCTGTTATGTTAAATGTTTGTTGTTTGTGTTTCATGTATTGTGTCTGGATACTTGTCTGTTGATGTTGGACATGGAGCTGCTGTGACGCAAGTCAAATTTCAGACTTGATCTGACAAATAAAGTAATATCGTATCGTATCGTGTATGAAAATAAAGTTTTACTAAATGTACATCCTGCTGTCCTACATTTTATTTGTGGGGCACTCAGAGAACGGCAGAAAATTCCAGATTTATAAAAGGTGCTGAACAAACAAAAAAAATGAGTGAGGCTGAGGGTTTCTGAAGGGGAAGTGGTTCAATCAAGTAAAGCGTTAGCGAAAGGAAACATCTCAGTTAATGCAGATCTGTTGGTTTAATTCTTTGTGATGAGCAAAAAACTACAACCCATTCTGTAAGGTAAGAATAAATGATGATATGTCAGTGATTTGGGGTAAAACTAGATTCAAAGCTCAATGTTTGATGCATTTAACCTTACAGATGAGGTTTAGTATCCATAAAAAGCATGGGTTGAAAGTAACGATCAGTTTTTTTTAGTTCTGTTTATAATATCCAGGTCTTGGATCACATTTTCAAGTAACAAAGGCAACATATTAATTATTAGGACTGACAACAATACGATTGTCTTAAACATTGAAAAAAGTATTCCAGGGGAAAGCAAGTTCCTGTTTATAACACACAGATTTTATCTATAATTGCTTTAATATCCTTAAATACCTTTTTTGTTAAGTTCCTGCAAAAAAATAAGATATTGAACTGAGATGAAGAAAATAAAACAAGCCAATCAAAATGGCCTGTTTATTTAAGCTAGTTTATACTATTACATTGGAATCGATTGGCTGTTCTTTTAACAAATTCAACATAAAAGGACTGCTGGGAATGATAAGGCGATGAGATTCTAGGGACAGATGGGAGTCGGTGTTCACATGTTGTCATTCGTTAAACAACAACTCTCTTTTTAATCAACATTTCCCTTTTATTTTTCTGTAGCTCAACCTTTGTTGTGTCGCTACATCAGAGTCACTATCTTACTAATACTATCTGCTACTGTTTACCAGCCTTAGTTTTCATATATCCTGTTGAATATAATGTCTTTTTAGAAAGTAATGTAGGTGTTTTGTAAAACAAAATGAAATCCCCGCTCATCCCCTGTCTTTAATGATTGATCCAAATGTCAACATGCTTCCAGTTAGCAGTCCAAGTGCATGTAACCCCTTTTATTCAAAACAATTACTGGATCTGTACACAAGGCTGCTGTCTTTTGGATGTTTCAGATATGATCAGCGATTAATTTTGAATTGTGAGGTCATTTAAGCAGCTGCTGGATTTAAAAGGTTGGATGGCAACATCATTTAATTTGAAGATTTTGGTTAAAAAACAACAAGAACTGGATGGCTTCCAAAAATCTACTTTCTTGTTCTACTGAAGACTAATAATACAGTAAAGAACTTTTTTAACAATACCCCATTTTGACTGTATTTTGGCAGCTTTTGATCGACTTTGAAGACACAATGATCTTCATTTCAGCTGAAAAACGACATTTCGCTTTTTACTTGTCAATTGGTAAGTTTTTCATTTTTCCATTCTTTTCTTGAATTCTTAAATCATGTGATAGTCAATCAACTTGGTCTCATGCTCTCAGTCCCTTAAGGCAGACAGCTCTTATTATTGATTGTTCACATTTTCTTGCTTTAAAACAATTTGACAAAGTTGAGGTTGGACAATAAGGAGGTATGTATTTCTGCACATCTTAAGCTTTCCTGATACGTAATAAATAAGATGAATTAAAGTAAACACTGCTATTGTAAAATATTGTTTTAAATATTAATGACAAACCTCATGTGTCTGCTCTAGGTCTGTTGAGTATATCATTGCTTGCAGGTCAGTACATTCATTGATCTCATGCCTTGAATTGAATTATAGTCTGATCTAACAACAAAGGACCATTTGTCACTGA